CTCCCCAGAAAACTTTCTTTTTCCACATGTGACATGGAGAAAGTCATATCTTACAAAGCAACTACTATACTTTTTAGGGTATACAAGCAAGTTCGAAAAACACTCTTTTTCCAGAAACAACTTCATAATGTATCAAGTTACCTTTAAAACAACAACAACTTACTGAACACCTTCTGGGTGTCAGCTTTGCCAACAATTCTGCCTGATGGGTAGTATTACGTCCATTTTCAGAGACACGGAAACCTCGACTGCGCTTTGCCCCAGGTAAAGTGGGATTTGAACCTAATCTAAGTCTGCTGCCTTCATAAAGCTGGTTAGTAACTATCTCATCAGCAGGAGCTCCTGAAATTTCCCTGTTTTTCCACAGTCATAAATACACATTAGTATTTCCAGGCAAAATCTGTTTATATAAGTAAGCCTTGCTGTTAACAATGTTCTTCTAGTTTAAATAAAGAATGCCAATAAAAAAGTGGCAGCAAATATTTTAGAATTTTAACTCATTCATCCTCAGCTGAGCCACTAATGCTCAAAAAACACCCAATGCTTTCCAGTTTGTAAAGTAAGAAATGTCATTTTCTTTGGAAGGGTACTCTCGCCCCGTGAGGAGTGTTTGCCTCACTCCCCGCTCAGCTCTGTGATCTCTCCCCTGCACTGATTTTGTCAACACCCTCAGATTTGGGTCAGAATCATATTTTGCCTTTCATCCCACAGAGTCCCACCCTCAAGGCCGAGCCCCTAGGACTCCCACGGACTGAGTTTCTAGAAATAGAGTGCTGTCTTGATCACAACAACATTTAGCACAGAGCTTTGTAGGAAGCAGCTTCTCAATAAATATGATTTGAAATCATGCAAATGACTGTCTTGGTGGTCTTTATAAAGATGTGAAGAATACCCAAAGCAGTAATACTTATTTGTTCAAGCAGGCCTGCTGTGGAGAATGGGAAAGGGCCAACTCTGACAGTTGGACAAAGGGAACTCAGCACATAGACACACCCCCCCACACTCACAGCCATCAAAAGTAATTGGAGGGGCGCCTGGGTGGCTCAGGGGGTTAAGCGGCTGCCTTCGGCTCAGGTCATGATCCCAGGGTCCTGGGACTGGGTCTTGCATCAGGCTCCTTGCTCAGCCGGGAACATGCTTCTCCCTCAGCCTGCTACTCCCCCTTCTTGTGTGTTTGCGCTCTCTCTCTGACAAATAAATAAATAAAATCGTAAAAAAAAAAAAAAAAGTACATGGGGGCATCCAGACATGAGGGCTGGCTGTGCTATTTAGGATAGGCAAATTTCTACTCTGTGTACGGAAAAATGTTTTGCTGTTGCAAACTAATCATTGCTTACGTCGGGTCATTTTTCCTAGAGCCCTAGCTAACTTCATGGTGTTTGAGTTTTTTTATATATCACGACTTTCTTATTGAGTGTCAAAGTAGCTTAATACTCATTTTAACAAAGTCCTTAAAAATACCCCACCTTTTGGAGACAGATCAAACGGTAAGAATAAGTTATTAATCATACAAAATATCATCGCATTGTAAATTTGGATCGGTAACTTTGCATAGTGAGAAGTAGAAATTATAACACATACACGGAACAAAAAAGCTATTCGAGCCCCAAGTTCATGACTAAACAGTCATCTTGTCTTTTCCATTTGCTCTATTGTTCACTGCTGCCTTCCACAGCTATTTATTTTAATCCATTCCTCCAAAGAGATATTAATAAACTTTAGAACTTCCGTTGTGACCTTCGCCTCGACACAAGCAAAACAAATTTATTTTCTTATGCTATAATAGATTTATTTTCCCATTATTCGAGTTTGCTTTTCGTGAGGGGCATATGAGGCACAGAACGTATGCAGGATGTACAATTTAGCCATTTGGATTTCATCCATTTCCCCAGGACCACACCAATAGGCATGTTAATGAAATCAGGCTGCAGTTTCAGAGCAGAATAGAATGGAGCCTCGACCAGAAGGAGGATGAGTGGCAGCAGTGGAGACGGGAGGGGGGCACACAGAAACAGAGGTGGGGGCAGGGGAGGGGGCACCGAATGAGGAGGGGCCAAGAGGATGGAGATGATGACACTGAGGATGACACCTCAGAGGTAAGGCAAAACTGTGATAAAGATGTGAGGGTGCTCCCACCCACCTGCCCACCTTTCCAACTTTCTGCCCAATGTTCCGGAAGCTGTGACCCGCCAGCACTACAGTGACACCCAGGGATCCGATGGCTCTGCCCTCCCCACTCCTGTGGGAAGGGGAAGCTGGCTCAGAGCTCAGCTTCCACTAAGGGCCTCCTCAGCACCCAGTCAAGCCCAAATCCTCGGACCCTCTGTCCTACAAACACAGCCGACAACTTCCCACCCTACCTGCCTCTCCCCCCTTCCATCTCCAGGAATACTATCCCAGGGTTCCTTCCAGATACACCCCATGCACCTCATCCCCATCAGCAGGAGGCCTGGGGAACAGGACCTGGGCCTTCTGAGGCCAGAGATCCAGGTCATATGGGGGGTCGGGTCTGGGGACCAGAAATAAAGGAAGCTTGGAGGCCCCGGAAGTCAGTGATTTGTGATGCTGAGGACAGGAAAATACCATGTGGAGTGCTTTCTGCATGGCCCTCCAGCTGGCCTGAGCCCCAAGGGGCTGCTACTCCTTTGGAACTGCCCGTGACTCATCTTTTGACCCCTCTGTTCCATACCGTGCTCTCCCCTGGAGAGGTCAAGGGTGCTTCCTGTCCTTACCAGTCGCTCACTTGGAACTTCATCACAGGCTGCCTTGGGACATCTCTTGTATTGTTCTTTTTAGCTTTTCCATGATGACTTTTCCCATGGGATGTTCGATGCCTTCTTCCCATGGGATGCCTGATCTCGGCTCCTTGGAGGTGGAGAGCCCCTGGCACTGGGGGGCTATCCGGGCGTGCTGGGGGCGTGGCAATGATTAGGTCAACCTGTTGCTTTCATGTCCTCACCTACAAAGTTAAGATGTATGGCAGAAGCAGGAATGGCTGACGATGGAAAGAACTGCTTTTGTTCTGAGGGTATGCAAACAAGCAAGAAGAATTAGGTGCTTTTTCAGATAATGGAATTCAAAATCGTATTTTTCCTTAATTATTTGGACACTGCTTTAGACATGAATTATCTCATTTTTGCAATCCATGCCATTTTGCATAGGTAGACATCCCTCAACTATAGGGAAGAATGGTGTTAACAGCACAGATATGGACATGGGTGTCCTTGGAAGGCAGGGTAATGGTCCGCAACGGCCAGAAGCTGGATATGTGTCATTTCCTCTCTGTCACTACTAATAAAGTACTTTACTCAGAACATCTCTTGTCCTTGTTCTGCAGACGTGACAAGTTGTCTCATGCAGTCTCCCATTACTGTCCCTTGGCACCAAAAAATAATGCATTCAGCTCATCATATTATTCATCAAATACTTACTGAAAACCTACCACTCTAGGTGCAAGCACTAGGTCCAAAGCCTGGGATACAAAGTTAGGAAGTGCAGTTACAGCCCACAAGCAGTGCTCCTTCCAATGGGGGTGACAACTAGCTACATGACATGGTCAAGTGTCCCACAAATGCTGTAGGCGTGGAGGAAGACTCAAAGAGGGCAGCCCAGGAGCTGAATAGAACACATGACTTGGGTCTGGAAAAATGAGTGATCGGGGCGCCTGGGTGGCTCAGTTGCTAAGAGTCTGCATTGGGCTCAGGTCATGATCCCAGGGTTCTCGGATCGAGCCCAGCATCAGGCTCCCTACTCGGCGGGAGGCCTGCTTCTCCCCCTTCCCACTCCCCCTGCTGTGTTCCTTCTCTCGCTGTGTTTCTCTCTGTCAAATAAATACAATCTTTAAAAAAAAAAAAAGAAAAAAGAAAGAAAGAAAAATGAATTAGTGATCTTTTAGAGGAAAAGAGGAAAAATATTCCAGGCACAGGGAATAGCTCCTGCTAAGGCATGAAGGCATGAAAAAGCCTGGTATATATTGAGAACAGCAGACTGTTCTGTTGAATGGGCTTTCAGCCCCACTGTGTGAGGGGGCGTGTAAATGTGTGTGAGTGTGTTTGTAGGAGGGGATGATAAGGCTGGAGAGGTAGTAAATAATCTTGATGCCATGCCTCATTTGTATTTATCCAGTAGCTAAGGGGAACACAGCTGAGGTTTTTCAATCATGAAAATAAGTGATTAGAGTTGGTTTTAGTCAGGTTGTTCCAGTGTAAAGAAAGAATCAGAGGGGTGTCAGTCCAGAAGACAAGAAACCGGTCTCACCTACACTTGCCTGCCTGTCTAGGCCAGAGTTGTACAGGCCTGGATTATGGCAGAGTGATGCTACAGAGAAAAATAGGAGAGAGAACTGACAGATCAAGTGCCCTGTTGGATGTGAGGGTCAAGAAGACAGAGCAGGGAGATTTTTTTTTTTTTAGCAAGAGGGAGGGGTGCTGGGGGAGGAGCAGAGGGAGATGGAGATTCTTAAGCAGGCTCCATGCCCAGCACAGAGCCCAACACAAGGCGCAACGCGGGGCTCAATCCCACAACCCTGAAATCATGACCTGAGCCGATATCAAGAGTCCGATGCTTAACTGACTGAGCCACCCAGGCGCCCCAGGAAGGAGAATTTTTAAGCAACCCTAGGTAGGATGCACTTACTGACATAAGGAATTTTTATCTTCTAATACAGGTAGAGAGAGTAGACTTCCATTTGCACCAATAAATAAAACTGCTCTTCATGTTTGTGATTTGTTAGCACCAGCGTGCTGTGAACCCCTTTCCTTGAAAATCACATGGTATCAATTTCATGCCTGTGGCAAAGTGCCCTAATTAAAGACATCCTGCAGTTGCTTCAAATCTTTTCTCCTCCACATTCTTTGCTTTCTCCCACAACAGATTCCCTCTACATCGGCTCCTCTACCGCAAGACACCAATAGGAGTTCAGGCTGAGGGCAAGCATGGAGCCGTTCTGGGCTCTGGTGCAAGTATGATTTCTATAAAAAGACATTTAAAAAACAAGGAGCAATGTTGCCATTTTGCCTTTAATGGGAAAGTGGCTAGCAGTTACAGTAAAAAAAAAAAAAAATTATTTAAAAAAAAACCTCTCCAACTTCTAGGCAATCACTGAATTTTCAGAAATACACATACACTTGAAAACCAACAGTTTGTATAAAAATAAACTTTGAATGTGTAATTAAAAAGGGAGGTCCCCTGTCTTTTTCAGCTGCACAAATGCACAATAAAAAGGAGCCGAGTCTGTGTGAGATGGGTTTACCCCAGTGCAGAGGGGGCTTTGACTTTGGAAGACAGAGCCTGCTTGAAGCGCCTCTTGAGGTCTTGCATGTTGGGAGAGCGCGGCCGGGGAATGATGGAGGCTCTCCTCCTCTCTCCGCTGAGGCTGTGCAGCTTGCTCACTTCTTTACAGAGATGCTGAAACACATCACAGACGTCCTCGTAGTTTTCGCTGGTGGAAATTTCAAGGAACAGGCTGCCCAGCTCATTGGCCAACTGAATGCCATCATGCGTTTGCACCTGCCGGGCATGCAGAAGGTCCCCCTTGTTGCCCACGATGATGACAGGGGCCTTGGAGTCAGGGTGGACCTTCCGGATGTGCTGGTAAAGGGGGCGGATGGACTGGTAGCTGTCATAGTCCGTGATGGAGTAGACCAGCAGAAAGCCCTCTGCCCACTGCACACACTTGGCCAGGGAATCACCTACCTGGGTCAGGCTGTCTTGGACCTGAGAAAGATCAAAACGAGTCTGGATCAAGGAAGCCCTCAGTGGGAGAGGACTTAAAATAACATCAGAGTAACCCTTGCAAAAAGCATTCAAAAGAGAAATCATAAATACAGTTTTCAGATGCTACCTAACTTCTGCAGGAGGCTTTGAATGCAGGAAGAGCAAGTTCCCTGCCTGGGTTATTTTATTGGCTGTCACCAATGCATTATCCTTAAACTCCCTGCTTGGCAGGTATTCTGTGGTGAGCCCTGGCTGACTGAAGAATGACTTCAATGAGAACTTTCAAAGAAGAATGGCGCAGTCTTTAGGGAACTGGGAATAAACAAAACTTTGAAAATAAGCCAAGATAAATATCTTTTCCCAAGCCCATAAAAATATTTTTAGCATATCCTTTTTGAGAATGTTACAGAAAAAAATTCCTTCTTTCTGGTCTTCCACAAGACCTTTCCTCCCTCCAAGGGAGAGCAATTAATAACTTGTTAATCAAGTTAAATTCCTGACTGCTTGCCAAGGGGTTATCTGGTTGCTATTAACCGACTTGAGGGAACAGTTAGAAACAGAAGCACTCCTGCTGTCCTTGCTAGGGGAGAAGACCGTCTCCAGAATCCCACGCCTGTTAATGGTTCCATGGCCCAGCTCTGAAAGAAGTGGCGAGCCCCATCCCTGTTAAGTAGTGATGCCTCTCCCAGGGCTGCAAACAGAGGTTAACTATCTCTCCCTCCAGCGGGACTGGAGGAAGCTGCCTCTGGAACCATCCACTCACCCCGTCCCCACCAGCAGGGTTTCTAACAGCCCGCCTGGGGACAGCCCACGCCTTCATCTAAATGCAAAACAGGTGTGTTTATACATCTTGCTCCTGCTGAGGAGCCCCCTGGGTATGTGCGCGGTGGTGAGCCGTTCGCTTCGGGCTGTCCTTACCTGGATGCCCCCCGGGGTGTCCTGGATCTGCAAGGAGAGCTGGTCTCCCTCTACGTAGACGAGCCGTGAATACAACTTGCCTGAAGGATGAAGGAGACTTTGCTTTTAAATTCCTACACACATTTCAGCAAAAAAGAAAATCGGAGCATGCAGCCACAAAAGCAGAGAGCATGAAATTATTCTAACCTGTATTCGGTTCATAATCGCCAATAAATCTCTTGGTCAGGAAGCGCACAATCATTGCTGAAAAGGAAAAACAGGAAAATCAGTTAAAGGACTAGGACAAAACAGTCAAACCGGGACGCTCCCGTGGAAAAGGAGAGGGCGCTGGGCCGCAGAACAGCGGGTACTGCCCAGGTTGGAAAGCTCTGCAAAGCCAAGGGTGCGGCCGTCGCGGTCTCTCGCGGGTTTGACTGCAGGTGTCTACCTGCCGCACCAGCCCCCCTCCTCCAGCAGGGGCCAAGCCAGGCGGGAGCCCAGGAGTAGCCGCCCGAGGAAGCAGCGGGTAAGCGAGCTGGCGCGGGAGAGCCGGGGCTGGCGCGGAAACTTGCAGGTCCTTCTGGCGCTCTATCCTCCTCCCCTCCGCCCAGAGCTCCGGCTCTTCCCCGAGGCCCCGTCGTCCCCGCGCGGCCCCCTGGGCACTCACCGCTCTTGCCCACGCGGCCGGCACCCAGCACGGCCAGCTTGATGTCCTTGGGCAGGAGGTAGTCGGAGGAGGACTCGGGGATGGGCGCGAGCAGACAGTGCCCAGACATGGTGGGCGGCCGCATGGAGAGCGCGCCGGCCGAGCGGGTCCCGCCGCCGAGAGCGCACGCCTGGCCTCGGCCGCAGCGGAGCGGCTCGCGAGCACAGAGAGCGTGGGGACACAGGTGCGCGGGCACCACGGCAGCCGGCCGAGCTGTCAGCGCCGGCGGTTTTTAAAGGGCTGGGCGCGCGCGGCGGGGGCGCGGCGGCCGCCTCCGGCTCCTCCCCCTCCCGCTCCTTCCCGCGGCGGCAGGGAGGGACCAGGAGCTGGAGAGCCCGGGGGGAGGGACCGGGCGCCGGGGGCGTGAGCACCGCCTCGCCGCCTGACGCGCTCCGCCCGGGCCCCGCGCCGCTGCCGCCCCCGTCCCCTGAAGGACCGCCACGGTCCCTCCAGCGCGTGGGAGGCCTCTCGTGGGGCTGTGCCTGCGCTGCCCTGGGGGCCCCTCCACCCCGCAGAGGCGAGCCCGGGTCACTAGACCAGTGGGTGAACCTGCGATCAGTTCTGAGCTGGGGAAGGAAAGAAAGAGGAAAAAGTGCTATCAGTCGGATGTTTCTGCAACAATGGAAGGGGTAAATTCCTGTTGGGTATATTGCCCTTTTTATTTTCAAAAGGTGCCGAGGGGTGACATTACTAAGGAAAGTAAAGCCCAGAATTCCTGAATTAGTAGCCGTTATAAGGGACCTGCAGTCACTGTGACGTTGCTCCACAAATGTGAAGGCCTCTTGGGGGCAGTAATTTTTGCACCTCAGCCTCCAAGCCAAGACCCTCGCTGCTGGCCTTGGCTGAATCCGCTCATCAGTGAACACTCAATACACATTCCATCCCCGGGGAGCTTTGGCTCCGGACTAATTCTCCATCATTAATACTGTTTTATGCACTTGAGTCGTGCATTTGCTTTTATTATTCAAGTACTTACTTCTAAGCGTAAAATGAAGTTTAGGATAAGGTTGAGGGAGTGGAAGAAGGGGACACAAAAGAGAAAAATGTCCTGGTCTTGGGTTTGGGGAGCCGGACCATAGTAAGGCCTTGGGATTTGATCCTTACAGGTTAAAACTTCATGCTTCTGGCCTCCTGTGTACCAGCCTCATATGTCCAATTGCCTATTGGAGGGCTCCATCCTTACCCCTTCTCTGTCTTGGTCGTATTAGTCAGCTTTTGCTACGCGACAAACTGCACGAAACTTAACGGCTTAAAACAACAATCCCCCAGAGTTGCTCATGTCTGTAGGTCAGTGGAGTGGTTATCCTAATCTAGGCCAGACTCAGCTGACCTAGGCTGGGCCCTGTCATGTATCAGCAGAGAGCTGGCAGAGGGTGGGTCGTGGCTGGCAGGCAGTCAGCTGTGATGGGGGAGGGGCAGTGACGGACTCACCTGAGTCCGTCCCCGCCCCCCAATACACACACCAGGCTGGCTAGGGCTTGCTTTCACGGTGGCTGAGCAGGTTTCAGAGAGAGTAAGCGGAAGTGGAAAAGGCCTCTAGAGCCCTACTCCACGGTGAAACCCATAACCTCTGCTGCATTCTGTTGGCCAAAGCAAGTCACAGTTCCAGTTCAGAATCAAGGAGAGGGGAAAGGATACACTCCATGCCTCAGTGGAGGGAGCTGAAGTCACATTTGAAAGGGCTGGGTGGCTCAGTCGGTTAAGCATCTGGCTCTTGGTTTCTGCTCAGGTCACGATCTCTGGGTTGGGAGATTGAGCCCCACAGTGGGGAGTCTGCTTCTATTCTCCGTCTTCCCCCTCCCCCAGCTCATGCACTCTCTTTCTCTCTGAAATAAATATTTCAAAGAAAAAAGAAAGGGCTGGGTGAGGTGCAGAGAGGGATAGAGGATGGGACCATCTTTAGCAACCAAGTACACTAATGCATGTTCCCTCCATCTACCCAGAATTCCAAACCAGCAACCTGTGAGCCATCCTTGACTCCAACCACTCTCACTTCCAAGTTCCACCATTTCTACTGCCCACACCCCTGGGTGTCTCCCCTTCTCCATCCCTACTGCTCTCCTCACTTCCCAGTTGAATTCTTCAGGACTCCTGCTGTAGACTAGGGATAGATGATGACTTGTTTACTTGCTCCTCCCTTGGAAGCTTTCTTTGACCAGCGCTGCCACCCCCACTCCTATCTCCCAGTTCTTCCCTTTTAGGACACCCTTGGCAGCACTGATCTCAACTGTCACTCTCTAAAATTTGTTTCATGACTGTCTCCAGGGGGGCTGAGACTCTAGCTTGTGTCTTTAGCATCAGCACGTAGTGGTGCCTGGGACTTGGAAGGTCCTTTGTTCACTGATCGACTTTCTGAATGAATAAATGAATAAATGAATGAATGATGTCTTCACTGTGTGAAACGGAAAAAACAGAAGCCATGTGTGTAACCATTATCCCAAAAGCTTGGTTTTGAGAGCAACCTACTCTCGAGAGAAAGTGTTCCAGGAAATGTCCTGAGATAACTGCTGTATCTCAGTTGCACTGACTTTTGGCAGCTTACAAGGCAATCCCCTTCTGTTAAACTTCAGTTTAACTGGAAAGATTTAAAGCAGGGCACCTCATTCCTTGACAGGAGAAAACACCATAAAGATAGTTACTATTTATAGAACCACTTTGAAACCATTCGGTTCCAGGGATCCTTCAGCTGTTCAGTGATAGGGGTCCAAGTCATTGTGTCCCAGATGCTCTTTGGCTCTCTTTGAACACAAAATGGCCCATTTCACCAAACACCAAGTCCTCACCAAAGCAGGAAGGGAGCGTGGGATTCTATTGTCTCCTTTTATTATGAAATAAAATAATTCTCAGAACCCAGCAGACTTTCTCTTACCTCTCATCTCCAGAACTGAGAAGCTGAGAGTTTATCCAAGCATCCAGCAAAGAAGACTGGGATTGCCACTACCTTAGAACAACCCTATCTCCTCCCCAGGAGCTAGCGGACACCTTGCTCCCCCATTAAGTCAAGAAATAAAAGAGGGGATCTCTGTTGAGTAGGAATCAATGGACTCTGCACCTTTCACTTTCCTGGGATTAAAATGCAGAACTGTCAAGGGAAAAGAGCACTTTCTTGGCTGAATCTTGGACTTACCTCTACACCTCATTCCCATCTTAATTCCCTGTCAGGAATAAGATCATTTTAGTTTAAGGTCACCCAGTAAGATTCCTAAGACTGTTTTCTGTCCACTGATAATTATGTTCCATTTTGCATTCACATTGCACCTTAGCTCAGAGAGCTCAAAATATTATTCCATTCTCCTTGGAAACTCTTTGCATTTGCAAATAGACAAGATAATCCATGACCTTTTAATACAGACAGTATGTTACCGAACCGTTACTGAACATTATAAATAGCACTGCCTAAATTGTTGCTGCTTGTGTTCTATTTCATTTTGGATTTCTTTGTGTCCAGAGTTATGTAAAATTGTACTGCAACCAATATAACACAGGCATACTGAAGTGGTTTTAAAATGATAATGGAAATGCGTAGGCACAGATATGGATACACAAATCCTGTGGGTGTTTAAAGTGAGTATGAAGGGCAGAATTTGGTAATTCGCAAATATCAGCCTTGGGAACTTAACCTTTTACCAGCCAAATCAGCTTGATTTCTAGCCCTGACGTAAGGCTGCCAAGGGTCCTCCTCTAGTTCAAGAACATCTCTCCCTCCACCATCCATCCCCTCCTAGTATCAGCCCTTCCTGTGTATCCTAAATCCTTGAACAATGAGCTCACTGGAGACTCGCAGACTACCTTTAGGTAATTTTACCAGACTAGAAACTGTGCTTTGCTAGCAGCTCCCTGCTTTATTTCAACAGTCAAAATGATTGAAAATCTACTCGCTGTAAGACTCCATTAAGTGCTGGTACAGAATACAAAGAACAGTTAACTTTCTATTACCAATCATCTACTGAGGGGATGACAAAGTATAAGACATTCCTGCCTGCCTTCAGACATCCCCTTAGTGAAATTACTCTTTATAAATTTGAGTTTACCAAAAAATTCTATTTCTTCTTTAACTAAACCTGTAAAATGGGTTAAATACCTCCTAAATTGAGGTTCAGACAAGTTTAGTAACTTACCCGAAGTCAATGAGGCATTCAGGAGGAGACACCCCCAACCTCTCTGATTTCTAATCTTGGCATTTTCCATCAAGGTAGAGAGCAGGATGAAAACACTCAGGTCATGTAAAAGGAACAACAAAGCAGGTCAGGGTGCCAACTCCAAAAGAGCTGCAATGGGCAGAATTAAATCTGAATGGGGGAGGGGGCGGTGGTAATCAGTGAAGGCTACAGGAAGAAATTGCCCGGTCTCTGAGCATGAGTAATATTCGGTAGGCAGAAACACAGAGGGTAGATGGCATGTCAAGTTGAAGGAATGGCATGAGCAAAATCATGAAAGTAGAAGTATAATGCAAGTCTGGGGAGCTACGAGTAGTCTCAAACATTAGAAGGATGTGGTGGATAGCCCAAAAAGTTGGGTACCAGACTGTGGATGGCAATGCATGCCATGCTCAGGAATTTATCTGGAAGCTATGGAAAGCCACTGAACTCTTCTTAAGGAGGGTAACCCTGACTATATGTAACAGAATCAAGTGCTAGGAGCATACATACGAAGAACAAAATATCTCTGCTCTCAAGAATCTTAGAACTATTTACTTACTCATCTCCCATAAGCAACTATCCTGAACCTCCTTCTCGCTCAGGAGCAAAAAGTTATCACATCCTCACTTGAGCTAAGCCACCACCTCATTTTGGAGAATAGAATACCTCACTGCATTTCTTTTCCAAATCAAATGATTTCCATAAATTCCAATCTTGCAAGGAAGTATCAGAGCATTTTCTCTATGCTTTTTGCATTTGGGGCTTTATGAGCTAGCCTGTCAGCTAATGCTCACCATACACATTTGCAGTTGGAAAACAATCACAATACAGAAACCCTGGGCTGCTTAGTCACTCCTCTGTACACACTTTCCGCCTCAGCATTATGAGCTGCAGATGCTGCCTCACCACTACTATTCATAACCAAGTAACTTGTCTAACAGATTCTGGGAAAGCTTTTG